AATTTTATTCAATCACTCCAATGGTTTCCTTAGCCAACCTCAACACTATATGCATACCACAATTGCATCAAACCATAACTTAGCACAATTTCCCCCAATTTGCCTTATAAGGTCGTGGATGATGCATTAAAGGGGTTAGGGCTTTTCCTTGCAATTTCAAGGTTCAAGGCACTTATTTAGGTCCACACTAATTCATTCAAGCACCTACTAACTCAATTCCTCAAGTTAAACATCCAATTGCACAATTTTTCCCTAATTCCCTCTACATGTCCGAATTCATGTCATCAACAAGCCAATGCATTTTTCTCTCAAACAACAAGCATTACACACTCATACAATCCAATTATAATTGGTTCAAATCACCAACAAACTCAATTACATAATTTTGCACTATCTTGCTCCTAATTATCCTAAATGGCCGAAAATTCAACCCTCTAAGACCAAGAGATCTTCGATTGATTTTCACACATCCAATACACCGCATATCATGTAATTAACTATTCTAACTAATCCACAACTCAATTTCACAATTCTTCAACAATCCAATTTCTCAAAATACATGTTCATCCATGCAAAATTTCACCAAGTTATGAACTTTTTCCACAATAAATTTTATGAGCTCAATCACTCTAATTCATCATTCTAAGCAACATTTATGTAATGCACAAAGTCATTTTGAGGTCTCCAACTACCTCTAATCAACCACACATAGGCTTAAGTTTTCAATTTATGATCTCCAAGAAAATCCAACAATAGGTAGGGAAACTTACTACAAATTAATATCCAAGACTCCTATGAATGTTTCCCAAACAATAACTCAAGAATCAAGCTCCAATGGCATCAAATTCTTCAAAATTTCGCAAGCTTAGTGGGGAATATCTCAAAATCTAGGGACTTTTCAAAAGGAATAGAGGTGTAGGTTGGATTCACTAGGTATTTTCCTTGAAATTTCAAGTAGGACTTGAAGTGTTTTGATTAGAAATTGAATGAGAAATTTTCTTGCCCTAACTCCATGAAGGCCGTGGGTTTGAGAAGTGTGGAGGGAGGAAGAGGATGCTTGAATAGTGACCATCATATGTGTTTTAAGTTGTTAAAGTGTGGTGGGTCCCACTTGCCACCTCACACAATTCAAATTATTTTAAATCATCCGCTTAACCCATTAATCTCGAATTAAATTATTAAATCTAAAATTTAACATTTACCGAAATCCTTTAACTACACTTGAACAAATGAATCTGGAATTTTCTGGTAATTTGGTAAAATCATTGTTTTAGCCTGATTTGTGCACCATTGACACGCTTCCCCAAAAATCTTAAAATCCATCATTTTTCACTAATAATTATATTTATTGGTCCTAAGTACATTTTTCAACATATATTTAATCCTAGAGCATTAATTTCACTCGGCGCATTTTTTGGTACAACTGTACCGCAGTATTTTCATCCGATAAACACTATTCATCAATTTTTCAGAAAATTGCCTAACCACTCAATTTTTTTGTTTTGAATCCATTTTCAGAGTTATTTTTCTCATTTGAAACCTTATACTATCATTTTACAGTTTAGGGTTACGTATTTACCGTTTTACCCTTCTTACATATTTTGACCCAGAACTTAGGATTTTCACTAATCCAACCCCTTAATCCTCACGTTAATTATAAGTATGTATTTCAATTCTACAAGGTGTTATATTCACCCCTCCTTTTTGAAATTTTATTCGCTAAATTAGAATCATACCTATCTGTTAACTCCAGATATAGTCAGAGAATCTCATCCTCCTGCTCCCAAGTAGCTTCCTCAGATGTGCGTCCTTTCCATTGTATCTTTAGCATTAGAATTATCTTGCTTCTTAGCCTCTTTTCATTGCGATCAAGAATATCTATCGGGATGACAGGAATCTTCAGCTCCACAAAAAATTCATCACAAATAATAAAGCAAAATTGTAAAATAGCCATATTTGAAGAATAAAGACCAGGAACAAATTCAGTGATGTACTCTACAACCCAAAAGGGCTCTAGGCCCCAACAAAAGAAAAAAGTAGAAAGATTACAAAATAAGTCGGCATTACGGCATGTAGCTATTTGTCCAAAATACCAGATGCGAACATTTTACAGCACCATCATGGCGCACAAAAAGCATGGGCGGCACACGTCCTTCGATACACTCTTCACCAGTCAAGGTAAAACACGACTAAAGTCATAACCATAAGAACAGAGCATGAAAGGCTAGAAAGCCAATACCCTGGTTAGCTCAATCAGGCCAGACACAACGGTCCACCACAAAATCGGCAACAAGACCCCATCCTAGAAAGTCGAGACAAGCATCAAGCAACCTGACATGGGACCGAATCCCAACCAAGAACTCAGATCTTGCCACACTAATAAGAAGTCGCTCACGAAAGAAAGGCATGTAAGGTGACTCAAGAATACCCAACAAACACCAGCTAACGATAAAATCAGACTTGGCGAGGTGTAGGAAAATTGTTGTAGCTCAAAACCACAGCTATATGAGATCTTCACTAAATGGGCCTGAACATGACTGAGATGCGTTAAGAGCACTACAGCCCGAACGCTCAGACTGCCAAACTGGCGAGCATATGTAGGAGCGCAACAATCAAAAGGGAATGAGAAAGAGAAATAATCTTCATAGGGGGAGACCCTGACAAACCGATTTCAAAACTTGGACTAAGGGAAAAAGCTAGAAAGTTATAAAGAAGGACAAAAGACTTCAACCCAACGCGACTCGATGACCTAATCTAGGGAAGTCAACCAAGACATAAATGCTAAGAAGCATGAAGAACAAAAGCAACAGAACCCGAAAAAGAAGGGATTGAACCCTGGGCAAGGCAGTCTAAAGAAAGAGTAGCAAGTCCCAAGCAGGACCTTAGCCAAAAAAGGTTAAGGGAGGAATACTGGAGCAGTATCTTCAGTAACCAGCTCAGGATATCCGACACGAAAAATTCAAAGGCCGAAGTAAAGTTGAATCATAAAGCACGAAATGAAAGTTTCTCAGTGCGAACCGAGAAGTACCTGAAAAGCAGAAATTGGAAAGTCGGACTTTGAACACGACTTTGAACACGAACATGAACGCGGACTGAAAGCGCCAATCTGGTTAAACCAACAAGAAGGACTTCAACTAAAAAAACAAATAGTAGCTAGGAGAAAGGATAGTTCTAACATCATGAGAGGGACATTAGATATAGCCCAACAACGCGGACACCAAACTACTGGACTGGGGGGCAACTATTATGGAATTGATCTAAGGGCCCATATTCTAGAAGGCCCAATAAGGGCAAACAACTAAAAGAAAAATAAAGGAAATATTACCAAAAAATAAACCCCCAATATTTCTAAGAGGTCCAGAAATTCACTCTTGCCAGGTAATCCATTTATAAATAAAAGGTAAAGACAATCACTCTTAGCTGTAACTATGCACACAACACACCCTTTGGCTATGTCGTAATTATAGTGCACAATAATCCATTATTCTCTAAGGTATCTCCCTTATAGGTACCTAAAAGAGGGCTCCTAGATCTTATAGAAACGTATCAATATCCGATTGAACATCTCAATTCTTCTAGACCGAATAGGACTTAAAGATAAATCAAGATTATTTTGAGAGGCAATTTTTGAAAAAATTTGAAATCAAATAATTACTTGGAACCCAAGTCAGCCACATCTATAATAAAAAAAAGGTAGAAATACACTTCAACCCATCTTATTGAGAGGAGTCCAATGGATTAAAGGTGATTCCGGATCCAATAGATGAAGCCACGTAGCGACCTCCTTAACCACACAATCATAGGAATATGTTGCTTCATAACCTGTTGTTCATCTTTAGCCCAGAATCCGAATCAACTAAATTAGCTTCAATTACTGGTTCAATTCCTTGCGAGACAACTTGGTGCACCAAAAAGTCGTCCTCATCTAACCGTTAATTAGCTCATATCCAACGGCCACCAATGTGATTTGTGTGCTCCTCTTAGCCAAACTCATATTGACCAAAAAGCCATTCCAAAAGGTTCCTTCCTCGTGGACGAGAATGGTCTTCAAGGGAGAAAGAGTGTAGTGGATCATGACCAGTCGTGACCCACTGTCGAGACCAACACTAAAGAATATATACTAGGCTCCAAGAGGGTGACTCAAAAGCCCAAATATTTCAGGGACTTTGTAATGGTCTAACGATAGAAATTTATAATTCGGAATTTCCTTTATTTGCTTATAAGAAAAATGCTGAAACTATATAACGAGATTTATTTTTGGTACATATATAACGAGAAATTTAAATTACGAAAAATGCATAAAATTGTTGAAAAATTTCTATCTCTTCCAAAGTCTTCACATTCCTCTTTTGTGAAACCTTACCTTACATGGACGAAGTGTATAGCCATGATTTAAAATTATATACTCATTATTTTTTTACAGTTTTATTAATAAATTTGTTTTACATAAATTCATTTAAATATTATTATCTTAGAACTTATAGGATTATACTTTACATGTTATTTAAAAAAAATAAAAGGAATAGAAAGATTAATTAAAGTAAAAGTTAGGAAAACAAAATATAAACGACAGTAAAGAACTAAAACTAATAGTTATATAATAAAATAAAGGGAAAAATGGGTATCTTTTAAAAGATATAAAATTGTGTTATTTTAAGTGAGAAAAAAAAATAAATCACCAAAAAAAAAAAGTGTGGATCCACCTATTTGTAATAGTGAAATCACATAAGTTTCATTTAAGGTTTCAATGTTTATAAAGTAAACGACGTAGATAAGTAATTTATATTCGCTGCTAAAACGATAGATTAAAAAATTATAATAAAAATGACTATTATAATATTAAAATAAATTATAATTATAAAAATACCTTAATTTCTATCTTGTGCGAATAGAAATCGCGAACCCTTCATTTCAAACCTCAAATATTTTTTCTAATAAAAAATCCAAAAAAATAAAACTATTATAGATAGAATAGAAGCATACATAGAGAAACACAGAGAACCTCACCTGTCACTCTGCAATGAAGCTTCACCCCGCGTCGCTGACATGGTCCTCTTCCATTTCCTCCACAACAACCATTACTCGTTCGACGGAATTCCCAAACGAAAACCACAGAAATGCTCCAAAGCCACCTCATTCTTTTAGCGTCCAATCGTTGAAGCGGCGCTCGAAACCGGCGTCTTCGGGGCTCCAGAAGGACCCAAAGAAGGACCTGTCACGCATTCTCCGAACCGAAGCCGCTATAAAAGGCGTGGAGAACAAAGGCAAGTCTTGGAAGCACAGACAGCTTTGGCCAAAGGCCGTTCTCGAAGCTTTGGATGACGCCATCAAAGGGTGTCGATGGCAGGATGCTCTTAAGGCTGGTCTCAATTTCAAATTCTATTACCCCCCCCCCCCCCCCCCTTCTTTTCTTTTTTTTTGAAAATTTTCATTTTGGATGTGACCCATTATTTTGAAATTAACACTTAGTATTTTTTTATTTTTTTTTTAAATTAGTAGATTTTTATTTTTTTAATTTTAAGTGGAGAGTAAAATGATGGGGTGGGTGGGTGGAAGTAGTCTCATATGTGTTTATTCACTTACATGTTTTGAGAATTATTTATTGGATTGAGTTCAATGCAATGATTCATGGGGTATGAAGCTGCTTTGAACTGACTGAATTGAGCTATTTGTGTAGAATTGGTTGCTCTTGTGGCTATGGATCTTTTTGGTTTGACTGTTAGTTTTGTAGAGAAAGAAAAGAAGTGTCAAGTGTGGTTTTCTGTTATGGAAATCGGGGAGAGTTGTAAAAGCGAGCTATACCATGATGTTTTGAATTTTACTGTTTAATTTTTTATTTTGGCTCTGACCCTTGATATTTTCCATTTGGATATTGTTTGGATACGTTGGGAAAATCTTGAGTTTCAGAGAAAAAACAGACCTTTAATTGTGTATGCCATTGGTTTTTTATTTTGCTCAATTTATATTTCAACTCTCGTCCTTGATTCACTCATTCACCTTATGCTTCTTGCCTTCCTTCATGCAAACATGAGCTTGTTTTGCAAACTAGGGATACTTTGACATATATCATATTCTGTGAATGTTAGACATGACTGGATTTTGTTTTAGGCTGAGAAACATGACTGAAATTTATTTTAGGATTAGCTTTTAACCTTCAGTTATGTCTGAAATATGATTAATTCCTTTTTGCAGATTTTTGCACTTCTTCGTAAGCAACATTGGTATGAACCAAGATGCCAATCATATGCAAAGCTGTTGATGATGCTTGGCAAATGCAGGCAGCCAGAAGAGGCTAGTAAGCTCTTTGAGATCATGTTGTCTGAAGGGCTTAAACCTACTGTTGATGTCTTCACTGCTCTTGTAAGTGTTTACGGTCAAAGTGGTCTCCTTCAGCAGGCATTTTCTATACTTGAAGATATGAAATCAGTTGTTGACTGCAAACCAGATATATATACATATTCTATTCTTATCAGTTGCTGTGCAAAGTTTCATCGTTTTGATTTTATTGAACACATTCTTTCGGAGATGTCATATCTGGGTGTTGAATGTAACAGTGTGACATATAATTCCATAATTGATGGATATGGTAAGGCTAGCATGTTTGAACACATGGAGAATTCACTGATAGATATGATTGAAAATGGAAACTGCCAACCCGATGTTTTCACGCTGAATTCTATTGTAGGATCATATGGAAATGGTGGGGTAATTGATAAGATGGAGAAGTGGTTTGATGAATTTCAGCTAATGGGCATAAAGCCAGACATAAAGACGTTCAATATGATGATAAAGTCCTATGGCAAAGCAGGAATGTATGATAAGATGAAGTCTGTTATGGATTTCATGGAGAGGAGGTTTTTCAGTCCGACAATTGTAACATATAATACAGTCATTGAGGTGTTTGGCAAAGCAGGAGAAATTGAGAAGATGGATAAACACTTTAAGAAAATGAAGCATCTAGGAGTGAAGCCTAATTCTATAACTTATTGCTCGCTTGTCAATGCATATAGCAAAGCTGGGTGTGTTGACAAAGTTGATGCAATCATGAGGCATGTACGGAATTCGGATGTAGTATTGGATACTCCCTTCTTTAATTGCATAATTAGTGCCTATGGTCAAGCTGGTGACTTAAAAAAGATGGGTGAGTTGTTCTTGGCAATGAGAGAAAGAAAATGTGAGCCTGATAACATCACTTTCGCTTGCATGACCCAGGCTTATAATACCCAAGGCATGACTGACACTGCTCAAAATTTGGAAAACATGATGATTACTGCTAAAGAGAGCTTTGGTATGTTGCAATTTGTGCAACTTGTTCTTTGGTGCAATGTCTATGTTTTGATCCTATCGTGCTTGGTAGGAAATGCCTCATCTACTAAGCATCCCTTAATATGTTAGTGAATGTTCCTCTGTATGCAGGAACACTCTTGTTATCTGTCTCTTCTATCTATTTTCTTGTGAGCTCGTGTAGCACCCTTTTCCATCATAATGTAGGTGTTTGGTAGGCATCAATACAACCTGCATTTAAGTGCATTGCTCTTCCCACCCAGCACGAACATGGACTTTTCCCCTTATCTTGGGGTGATAATCCAGTGAGATTTTAATTATCTTAGACTTGGGTATGCTCCAAATTTTGCAACTCTTTTGCTGCTGCAGTTTCAAGTGTTGTTTTGGTCCTATTGTTTTGGCATATACCTCCCTTGTGCCGGTCAAGTGTTGATAATGTCACCAACATTCACAATTAAAATAACCAAAGCCTTATCCTAGTATGTGGCGTCAGCTACATGGATTAATTTGTGCAATTAGGCTCTATCCAAAATCAAGTTTATAGTAAAACCATTTAGATGTTTTTTTTGTTTTTTTTTTAGGTTTCATTCCGAAATTTTTATTTGGTCTTCTTCTGTCTTTTCTCATCATACAATTTTCCATTTCACTCATTCTTCTTAATGGAGCCTCCATTGGTCTTCATCTCACATGACCAATTTTGTCATCATAGGTGCTACTCCAACCCACCTTTGCCTTCCCATATTTGCTTCACTTAAATTTTGCTTTTATTGGCATTTCACTAAGTTCAACTTATTAAAAAAATTGATATCAGGTGGGTCTCTCCATCTTTGCGCTGTAGTTTATGTTGGAAACTATCTCCTTTTTTGGGGAAAATATCTCCTATTCAAGGGTTGTACATTTTCTGTCAGTAATTAGGATTTGATTTGTATATTTTCCCAGTTTCCTGAAATTAGAGAATGTAAATCATGTTTATATATTGAATCGGGTTGAGGATTTCCTCAAACAATTTAGTAATTTTTTTCTCCCTCTTCAAGTTGGCTACAAAGCTTAACATTCTTATGCCTAAGAGGACCTAGTATATATATATATATATACGGGGTTTATACTTCTCCTTTCAAAGGAGAATAGCCTTCTCATGTTGTAGATACATTAAATGGCGGAGCCCACTTCAATTTTTTTTTTCTCTCACTTCTTCCCCTTCTCTCTCTCCTAATTATTGTGTCAGCTGCAAAATAATAACTTCTCCACCAACAGGAGAAGTTGTTATCCCATATATATATATATTGTTTATCACTTTATCCGAGAAAAAGTTATTTCTTGGAAACCACTATTGAGTTTGTTGACTTAGTATTCAGCTTGCAGATATCCTTAGAAAGCCTGTTTCGAGCTCCTTGAAGCTACTTTATCTATAACAAGCTTGGTGCATATGTATGCTCCGGCTTGAGGGGGGAGTATTGGAGAGTATCTCCCATATAGGGAAAATATCTTCTATTTTCTGGTTATATATTTGTTGTTAATAATTTGATTTTATTTTTATACTTTCCTAGTTTTGTGAAATATGAGATTGTAAATCATGTTTTTTATATAATCAATCTTGCTGAGGATTTCCTAACCAAATATTTGAATAACAGGCACCAAGTTGATTGGTTGCTAGCGTGGCCAATTGTGATTGCAGACTTTACTATTCTTGTCAGCATTTTTGCACGGTGATCCGATCTTGGAAAGATTTGAGAACTTTAGCAGGTAAACATAGATCCTTCATCACTACGTCATTATTTTGGGGGGAAATCTTTTTAACCTGTCAATTAGGAAGCCAATTACTTTATTATATTCAGGAGGATATAGCTTCCTGTTTTTGTACATCCTAGTTGGATTAAAAAAAGAAAATATAAAATTGTTGACTCATAAGTGATACAGTCATAAGCTATACTGCGCTTATTATTCTTCAATAGATATGTGACTTTTGATGAAATTATTTTAAATGAATATTTCACCAAGCTCTATTTATGAAGATGCAATTGCATTTGATTACCACATCCATTAAAGGCATTGTCCTCAATGAATTCTCTTTTTCCCTTCTTACAGCTCCTTCAATTTTACTTTACCAAAAATTCATTTTAAGATAGAAACCTATACTAACTGAAAGTACTCTGAAATGTACTTTAGGAGTAGTTCATTTTAGGGAAGTGAATATGTTTGGTTTTCAGATAAAAGAATGATAAATTTTATAGGAGTAATTCTTCTTTTTTAGGGGGTAAATGTTACCCCACAATTAGGCTAAAATCTTTCTTGTTTTTTCTAACATCTCTCTGTTTCTCTCAATTCCCTATGCTCTTCAGCACTGTCCTGACCAACTTATAACTGCTGCAAACGGCAGGGCCATCTACGGTCACTTCCATGCCAATGTGATGGCTGGAATAAGATCTCGTCAAAGAAAATATCTTTAGTACTACGAGAGTATTGAAGACTCAATATATCCTTGATATAATTAGAAAGAAAAAAAAAACACTTAATTATACTTTTTTCTTCCATCCTTTTATGGTTATTGACAGCTGAATCCTTTTTTTCTATTTTTAGTAAAAGATTAAGTACTCTGGTAACACTGAAGATATGCTTCTCGTCAAGGTGGCCAAGGAGGACAATTAGAGAAGATCTTGATGGGTAAAGGAAGAGGATATGTCTTGCAAAGTGTTTTGGACTGGACCTCACATTGGGCCTAAGAGCTTGATGGCCCATCACATGAAGGCCGAAGAATTGGACCAGGAGCAGAGATGCCACCTCCCTTGGCAATTTAAACAGAAAATGATTTTCAGAGAGAATTAACTCCCTTGATTACACACTTAAAGGGACATTATGAACATTAGTGGCAAGAATCCGGACTAGAACTGTGCCCATAGTAGTAACCATTACAGATGGTATAGGTAACGATCTAATACCAACACATTATCCTAAAGAAGCTAAATTAAAATACTAATTTGAGTGTTGGAATGCCTTGGAGTGTTTGGAGTAACAACTTGAATGTTTGGAGTCTTGAATAGAAGACAACTTTAAATAAGGGTTGTGGTTACTGCCCTGGGGTGTTGCATCCATAAAGTCTATTGAAATATCAAATGAATGAAAATGTTAATAAAATGTCAAATATAAAATCTATATATATCCTCATTGAGGCTATGTCCTTAGTTGACAAATACACCATTTATAGTTAAGTGTGATATATGAATATTATCAATTATATAACTGAAATGTCATAAAATGAGGAAATATACTTAACAACCTAGAGGACCTAAGGGCTAAGGGTAGCATAGGACCAACTTCTGGTACTGAATCCTCCTATATAGGTTCACTGATCCTTTGAGAAGCCATGTGGATGAGTTTGTCCCATTCACACAGCTGAGGTAAAATGAGTGGCACCCCAATTTCTGATGTGTCCATTTTGTATTGGGCGGGTTTTTGTTTAACCCCCCCCCCTCTCCTTGCAAAAAGATAATAATAAAACTCTTTTCCGTAATTCGATACCATGTAATCATGAACATTTTTAATTAAATTAGTCTAATCTTTACCAAAAAAAAAAAATTAGTCTAATAGTTATTCTCAATCTTAAAATTAATTTGTAATGTCAAATTATCTAAGAAGTATAAGTGTTCAATTGATTTACAATCTTAAAATTAAGGATGATGCTAATTAGATGAGGAGTGTCATATAGAGAGAAATTGACTCCAATTTCGCGTATGTCCTGTCCCACGCTGCGATGTGTTTTAAATCCGTGTTGTGCAATATAGCTCATCATACAACAAAGCCAAGTAGTAATGGATAAAGCTAAACCTCAATATTGGTAGCATATGGTAGTGACTTCGATTCCTTTAAATTTCTGGGATAGTCGAATGTATAAAATTAAGGGTGTGCAAAAAAATTGATTCACTTGTCGTGCTCTTGATTTGACCTTGACTTGATTCATAAATATATTTTTTTTTTAACTGAGTTTAAATATTGATTTATTTTTATTTTAGTCCGTTTTAGACCTGACTTATTTTAATAATTGACTCGTTGATTTAAATCCTGGCCACACCTATTATATGAAGAAAAAAAAACTAAAAATCACAATTGCAATTTTCATTTTTAGAGTTCTAGGCAATTTGGGAGTTCACAACAAATAAATAAGAAGACGATAAATCACAAGCTGTCCACAACATTATGATAACTGCCATAAATAATTATTAAAAGCTAAACTATTTATTTGTGTCATTAAATAAGAAAACGATAGTAGTCCATAAGAAAACGATAGTCGTCCAGGGTTCGGGGCTAATGAAGTGGAAAAAGCCAAATTAATTGAAGATCTTTTTTTATGTTCAGTATTATAACATTCAAACTTATCCGTCCGTCTAGACCTACTGATAAAGGGCGCAACTTCGTTATATCACTTTTCTTATCTGGATAATAATTATCCTTGCAAGTTCATGTGTTCAACATTGAGTATTATTAAGTATTGAGGAGAGCATATTATATATATAGTAAGAGGTTGGGTAGGTTGAAACTCAAAGTAAGGTGGGTTTAATAAATAATTTATTATATAATTTATATATTTTAAAACAAATAAATAATTAAATTATGAGTTTAAAAATTAAATGAATAATTATAAAAAAATCAAATCAAAAACAAGTTTTGAAATCAAGTTAAGAGCTGGTCAGGTCGGATGTGATCCGATTTTGAAACCAAATCAGGTCAGATCAGATCCAGTTCAAAAAAATTTAAACCGGGTCAAACCTGACTTGGATCAAATTAAACCGGGTTGGGTCAAAATACCTAACCTATAAAATCAAGTTGGATCGGATCGGCACAAAAATCTGATCCGACCTGGTCCATGCACAGCCCTAATTAAAATTTTAAACACCGTTGTTATCTAAAATTTTATTTTACAATACAATGAGGGGCGGGTTTGGTGAGATGATTTGGCATATCACCAACATGAAGTTAAAAAAGAATAATAATAGTATTTCACTCCGTAAAAGGTGCAATAACATTTGCCAGAGTAATTTTGCAAGAGTAATTTTGCATGCATAGATTTTATTTTTTAACAAATGTTTTAGGGGGAAGGATATTGTAACAATCAAGTTGTGTTACTACTATGTTACTACCAATCAATCTCACTATTAGATCGATTATGTTGATCCAACGGCTATATTTATTTCTATCTTTGTATGGTCATAATTTCTCAAATTTAATACTTTATATTTATTTTCACCTTTGTATGGTTATGATTTCCCATATTTAATGCTTTCACTTTAAATATGGGGAATCATAACCATACAAAGATGAAAATAAATATAACTGTTGGATCAACATAATCGATATAACGGTGAGATTGATTGGTAGTAACATGGTAGTAACATAACTTGGTTGTTACAATTCCTTCCCCATGTTTCAGACTCTGAAACTTATGTGGACTGATAAGTCCATGATTTGTGACTTAGAACATTTGATTTGATGTTAAAATGGGAATGAAAATGATATCTTTTGTTAATATAAACCCCAAATGTTACATTGTTATGAAAGATTCTGATTTTAAGTGCTAATGGGCTGATTTTGTATCTTGCAGGCCCAATTACCAATTTTGTCCAAGCAAAGCATATAGAATGGAAAACAAGAAAAATAAGAAAGCTTGGGCTGAGGTTTTACCTTATAAATCAGAAGAAGCAAAAGAAATAAGAAAAGGAATGTGCCTGATGCTATGAGAAAAAGTCTACCAGGCCCAAGAAAGAAAAGAAGGGAAGAAAGAAAAGAAAGGGAAACAAAAGGGGAACTCAGAATCTTGAAGCAAACGCAGGAAAAAAAAACCCTAACACCCACCATGGAGCGAACCATCTCCATCAAACCCCCATCTCAAACCGAACCACCCTTTAATTTTCGTTCAAGACACAGACCCCACACAGAACCCTAGCCCTACTCACGGTTCATTTCTTGAATCAAACCAACCACAACACAAACCCTAACCGATTTTTGTGCGATACAGAAAAATCCAAACAAGTCCCTCAATTAACTTGATGAGCTGGAGGTTGTTAGTAGTGGTGGCTGGAGATTCTTTTTGGTGCGTTGTTAATCGTGCAAGGGACACCAACGATCAAGTGGAGCGAGGAGCATACGTACGTTTTGAGGAGGTGACTTGGGATCAGCTATAAAGGAGGAGATAAAAGCATTTGTAGGCTCTCTCTTCTCCTCGGCTTCTTCTCTAGTTTTTCTTTTCCCTTTGGATATTTTTGTTTTACTGTTCTCTGTTATGTTTTTAGGTTTTTAGAATTCTGTAATTTTTGTAAGAACTGTTTCAGAGCTATTTGCTGAAGATCTATGAAGTACCGACACTTCAAAAATCCTAATGTGTCGTGTCTGACACTTCTCAACACTCCGACACTTCCCGACACTCCAATACACGTTGCAAAGACTCAAAAAAGGTTCAAAGATTATGTTGCATTGTATTTTGAGTTCCAACTATTAGATTCATTAGATTACGATTTTATTGAGTTTAATATAAACATTGAGGATATATTATGTTTATTTGTAAAATTGATGGGTATTATAAGTTTAGCTTTATTTTTTTGTTAAATTATTAAATACTAAATATAATATACACTACATAAATTAAAAATATTTTATAATATCAAAACGTGTCCTGACGTGTCGAAATTTAACATTTTTTAGAATTAACGTGTCGGAGTGTCGTGTCGTGTCGTATCCCGTGTCCCGTGTCGGTGTCGGTGCAACATAGCTGAAGATAGCCTCTGCCTTTATATTTTGCTAGTCGTACGTTTTAAGTTTCTGTTTTTTATTATGTGCCTTTGCTGTTTGTTAGATCATCAACCTGTGGTGATGAGTTAATTTTCTTAGAGTTAGGTTGAAAGAGTACCCGGAACTCAAATGTTATTAGTTGTTGTTTAAAGCTTTAAGTGTTAATGTCCAGTTTGTTTACTGTGTATTTTTCGTTCTGAGTTTATTATGTGATGGTCACACTTAGGCTACTCCTAGTGGTGTGAGATTATTGGGAAATACTTACATTAGACCTCACTGTAAGAACATGGAAAGTTGAGAGAGATCTCTCTCAATGGGTATTGCTCCAGGGATGAAGTTACCCCCATGTAACTTAAGGAAATGGTGCTTCAAGGTCTTGTAATGACAGATACACAGGGATGTGTCATCTGTTATTTATGGTAAAAAACTGTTGTTGGGAAACAATTGTTATATATATATTTTCGTTAAACTGGGACTGTTGAAGAAAAGCAACATTTATTTTCCTGTCAAAGCAACTTAATAGCAAATGAGGGAAGGGGAAACTGATACCCAACTTGCTTCCAAATTCTGTTTTCAAAACCAATCTTTGTTGTTCTTTTGTATTTTCGTCCAAATCAAAATTTAATTTTCTGTTTTAAAACGTAAGAGAAAATCATATAAAAATTTTACAAGTCTTTTAGTTAATTAATTTTCCAGTCAATAGTTAAAGATTCTTTCACCAACTAAAATCACTATTTTATAAAGAAAATCTTCACAAAAAATAAATAAATATTTTCAGTACACTTGAGTTAGAATAGCAGTAGCATTTAATTTGATTTGATTTGATTTTATTTTGTTTTAGTTCTGTTTAGCAATTACAATTTTTATTCAAATTCAAAAACGCCAAAGATCCTTGTGGGAACGATAACTATGACTCATAAAAGCCCTATATTACTTGTTCTGGCGTATACTTGCGCGCATACTTGCATAACTGTTAGCAAGGCAACAAGTTTTTGGCGCCGTTTTCGGGGATCAAGGCGTACATTATTAGATTTCTTTGTGTGATTGCTATTTCTGAACTAATTCTTTTTGCTGTTTTTATTTTAGCTTAATTTGAATTCTGTTTCTGTATTGTGTTAGTAAATATTACTGTAGTCTCTTGAATATTGGTAGCTTAAAATTCTGCTCTGTTCATATTCTATTTTGTTGCATGTTTTATATAATTTTCCTGTCATTTAATTTTCTAGTCTATTGTTTCATAGTTGTTACCTTATTTCGTAATTTTTTAGTTTCAATCTTTTATTTTTATTACTAGTTTCATTCTATTAGTTTGGATATATTTTTTTTACTGTTCTATAATTCTGTTTGGTTATGGATATTGTTTTTGCTATAACTTTGGAATTTTCTGTTAGTGGTTACTGTTGCTGTTGCAAATTATTTTCTGTTCGGTTGGTTGTTTGATTTTTTTTAGAAGATACTGAATAGGAATTTTGTTTGCTTAAGCTAGGTAGATTTTATTTTTTTTAAAAAGGTTGCATGAGTGCAACTCCACACCCTTTCTTAGAATCTTTTGACCCTGAATCTGAAAGGACCTTTAGAGTTAGGAGACGAACCCAAAGAGCAAATAGGCAGATCCTACTTCTAGATTTTGAAGAAATGGAGGATTTAGGAAATGTAAATGGGAATGATGGGGTAAGAGGACCTGCAAGGATAGAGAACCCACCAGCAATAGATGACAATGATAGGTCCATGACGGACTTCATTATACCTGTTTTGGATGAGTTAGACCCAAGTATTGCTCAACCTGTTAATGGAGTGCCCTTTAAGTTAGAACCGGTGATGTTCACCATGCTCCAAAAAATGGGGCAGTTTCATGGTCTGTTGATGGAAGACCCACCCAAGCACCTTAGGAATTTCATAGAAGTGGCCAACACTTTTAGGAATCCTAACATCTCAGATGATGTACTTAGATTGAAGCTCTTCCCTCATTCACTGGCTGCCAAAGCCAAAGAGTGGTTGAACTCCCTTCCATCCAACTCTATAACCAATTGGCACACACTGGGTGAAAAATTTATCATGAAATTTTTTCCATCCAACAAGATAGTACAAACCAGATGTGACATTACCAACTTCATGCAAAAGGATGGTGAGACCCTTGTAGATGTGTGGGAAAGGTTTAAAATCCTTCTTAAGCAATGCCCTAACCATGGTTTGCTACCTTGGGCAGTGCTGCAAACCCTTTACAACAACCTTAACACCCAAAACAGAGCCTTAGCAAATTCTGCTGCTAATGGCATGTTTATGTCCATGTCCTTTAATCAAGCCCATGATTTGTTGGAACAACTGACTCAAAATTATGCCGAATGGCCTGAAGATAGAAATCAGTCAAGGAGAGTGGCTGGTTTGCATGAGCTAGACCCTGTAACAGTTCTTTCAGCTAAGTTTGATGCACTAACTATTTTAGTGAAAAACCAGGGTCAAGCCATTGAGGCAAGATTGTCTCAACCTCAAGTTCCAATACCACAAGTCAATGCTGTGAACACAGGTGAAACTTGTGTTTTCTGTAGTGGGCCCCATATGTTTGCTAGCTGCCCATCCAACCCTGAATCTGTGTTCTTTGTGGGGAACCAAAATAGGAACCAAAATAATTTTTCCAACAACTTTAATCAAGGTAGGAGGCAGAATCAACAGCCTCAATATTTTCAAGGGCAAGGGCAGCAAGCTGGCCCATCTAATGCTCAAGCCAAACCACATTTTCCCTCTCAAAACTACCCACAATCTCCAAGGCAGCAACCTGTTGCTCAATCTAGTGAGATGCCTACCTCTTCACCTTCTTCCTTAGAAGCTTTGTTAAGGGAGTACTTGGTCAAGAATGAAACTAAGCAAAACAACTTGGAAGTTGTTGAGCAAAGTATTCCTGCATCTTTGAGGAATATAGAATCCCAACTAGGCCATTTAGCAAATACTATGAATAGCAGACTCCCTGGTACCTTGCCTAGTAACACTTAAGAGCCTAGGAGAAATAATGAGCAATGTCATATGATAGAGCTTAGAAATGGTAGATTTGTGAATCAGCCAGAAGCTGTGGTTAGACCTTCCACATTAAAAAAAAATAGAAGAGGAAAAAGTGCAGCAGGAAAAAAATATAAATTTTGAACCTGTTCCATCCACATGTGTTCCATAACAGCCCACAAGGGGCTACAAATAGTGATCCTCTGCCTATTCTGGTCGAATCAGAAATTTAGACTCAACCAGACCCATCTTTAGGGACTATTTCCATGGAAAAGTCCATTCCAAAGGGTCAAGCATCTAAGTCAAATGTTGAGACACTAGTTGTCTCCAATAGACCCCAACCCCCTTTTCCCCAAAGATTGCAAAATCAGAAGCAAGATAATCAATTTAGGAAATTTTTAGACCTCCTAAAACAGTTGCATGTCAATATTCCATTTGTGGATGCATTAGAACAAATGTCCACTTATGTGAAATTCATGAAAGAAATTCTTTCAAGAAAAAAGAAGACTAGAAGAATTTGAGATTGTTGCTCTTACACAAGAGAGCAGTCAATATTTGCTTAGCAAGATACCTCCTAAATTAGGAGATCCAGGAAGTTTTACAATCTCATGCACCATAGGAGACCATTACATAGGCAGAGCATTGTGTGATTTAGGTGCTAGTATCAATTTAATGCCTCTGAGTGTGTACAAAAAGCTAAAAGTAGGAGAATAATCCCACCACTGTCACTTTACAGTTGGCTGATAGGTCCCTAGTTTATCCTGAAAGGAAGGTAGAGAATGTAACAGCCTGTTGACACCGGTATTGTTAACATTGAATATGATATTAGGCGCAGTTACAATCACAGAAGTTATTTGAATTTACGGGAAAACTTTTTGCTTTTTAACATCGTTTACACCATTAAAATAACTGTGATCATATCCCAACACTTTATGCAGAATCATTAATACCATACACTTTTTTTTGTTTAAAGGTTGCTAAGTGGTTCCCATAAACCAACAAAGCTTAAAACTCGTTCTATCCATTTTTAACACTAAATGTCTTAACCATTTTATTTACTCCCACAATTTTAAACCTATCAAATGCTTCTCATTTCTTAGTATGTTATAGATTTTCTCTTAGCTTCACGTGGCTTCGAACCGCGCTCAATTCGGAGTACCGTAGCCCAAGTTATGACATTTCAAAGAAAATGGGTGCTGAAACAGCAGGACCCCCGCGTTGACAGCGCCATTCCCGCGCTGACAGCGCCAGAACACAGTGACAACGGCGCCCACAGCGCCAGATTGGCGCCAACAGCGTCAAGGTACAGGGGTTGTATGCCTAAATCATGAAATCTGACCTTCCTATAGTGTTCTGCCCATGACTTGAGTTATACAACTCCAATTTACACAATCTTGGTCTCATTAGAAAGCTAAAAGAAAGATCTCTAACTTCCAAGAAAGTCAAGGGGTCCAATTCCTTCGAATGGGAGACAAAAATTGGGCAGCACCCTGTTTGTATTTCCAACAGTTCCCGAAAATTTGTCAGAGTTCCCTTTGTTTTTACAAAAATCCCCAATTTTGCCAACAAATCCTAATTCCTCAAGGTGCATAAAATCACATGGGTGACACACACAAGGACCAACAGTGTCTTGGGGCACTTACAACCCATCACAGTTTATCTTACATATACAATACTTATTAGGTTTCAAGTTCAATTACATGCATTTGTTAATCGTACCTATAATCAATTCTACAATAGGCCTAAAGCCCTTCCTTCATATTATACATGCTTCAAATACATCATAGGTGGCTATGGACAAATCTCATGCTCACACAGAATATACATATAAATCCAAGGCATAGTTATACATCCATTTTTTGAAAGACTTACATATAGTCATGAATATACAAAAGCATGGCAATATCAACATGCACAAGCTCATAACCTAAATCCAAAGTATTAAACACTATACTAGGTGTATTCGATAAAATCCTTTAACATGTTATGCCCTCCATGTGCACCTCATGCTCCACTCCTCCAGGCTCAACCTAACCTGAAATGATATCCCCAAACGCGGAGTGAGATATACAAATATATCTCAGTAAACCAAGGGTACTAGAGGATCACTCCACCCCATGGCTCACTCAATGTGCAACAAATAACATAGTATGAAATGCATGGCATACAATATCACAAACAACTGGGGACAAATCCAAGAACATCCACATCAGGATTCCGTTCAAGAACCCCATCATATAACTCTCGGAATCTTCCTGGTGCCTCTCCCATGGTCGAGACGACCCCATGGAAAAACCCAACTGGAACTCCTCATGAGCCCTATCCAGCGGAAGTCCCACGTTTGGATCATTCTGGTACCGCTCCCAGAGTCGGCCCCACGGCAACAACTCGACCGGAATCCCCAAAGGATATCTCCAGCGGAAGTCCAAACAACCACACATCTACTGGCCAGAGATCAAACAATTCACACACAACATGCTCCAAGCATGTCACACAATCAAGCAATAATGCATGAACATACATATTCACACAATGTTCAAAGACACAAAATCCAATCACAACCTTCCACTAGGTGTGGTGCAGCACACAAGGGACTAAATCCAAGTTCCAAAGGTTTACCTCAACTCCGAAGCCAATGCTCCCCAACGTAAGCTCCAAGCTTATTCCGCTTCCATAGCGTCCGTGAGAGGCAACCTGAATGATCAACAATCATGATCATCTATCAATTCCAAGACAACAATTAACTTTCAAAATACACATACCCAAACTCATTCACTTAGGCCAACGGATTATTTACACTTATTGTTCCTTATACATCATCATAGGCCAATTTACCACATACTCAATATATCCAACATTCTTCCAATTCCACAACATCATACCAACCTATAATCCATTTCAACACCACTTACAATCATACAGCACCAATTATACCATTTTTTTATATCATCAAACCAACCATGACCTCAATAGGTCGAATTGCCCATGCCCATCAATCTAGGGGTATTCAATCCAATTCAACACTCATACTCATCATACAATCATATTACAACATCATATAACAACTCATCAATCCATTCCTTACACAATTC